AGGGACACGGGACAGGACCCCAGCACTGCCCCAGACAGCTGTGTGCCACACCGGGCCAGCTGTGTGCCACACCAGGCCAGCTGTGTGCCACGCCGGGCCAGCTGTGTGCCAGGCACAGCTCCCTGGCCCCGCAGGGCTGGCATTCAGCTGCAGACACAGCAGCAGGGCCATGACTCAGTCCAAGACAGGATCATGTCTCGTCCCCTCGCAGGCTCGTGGGCTGATTTCAAAATCAGTGCTGAAGGAGTGACGTGAAGGGAACTCGGAGATGGTGGCACTTGGAGGGGGCACTGAGCAGGCACAGGAGTGGGAAGGGGATATTTTAATTACCCAACAACAAACACCAACACCTGAAACTGTTTATCTTGCTCTTTCTGATGTTCCTCGAGTGTTTTCACCCTGTCACAGCCTCCATGCTCCCTGCTACCTTCCTGGGCAGCATTCCACCCGGGAAGGAATCCTCCCAAGAGCTCCATGCTACTCCTCCCCTCCCAGGAGATGCCAAGAGCCAGGTGAGGCTTTTCCAGCCCACGGGTGCAGATGCAGGGATGAAGCATCAAACACTGTCCCTGCCTGGGGCACACCTGCACCTGCCCAGGGCAGTCCTGAGCCCTGCTCCAGAGAAAAGCCTGCTGTGAGGAATAACTAAACCTATGGAATGTGCCCTCCTACTGTGGACAGGAAAATCCTGGAGGGGAGCTCTTCCCTCCCACCTGGCAATCCCTAAATTTACATTTACATCAGTGTTTCTAATTTGTCATTGGCTGGGGCTTGTTCTGTGCTTTTGTTTTAAGGCAGCATTTAGAAACTAAATAAAGGGAATGAGCCTCCCCCCACCCCAGAGGCTCTGTGGGGACAGGGAGGAGACCCCAGGCAGGAGGGGCTGGGGACAACAGGACAGGCAAAGTCCACAGCACCCATGTGAAGTGGAGCAAGAGACTGCCCCAGCCCTGCCCACCACCCCACACTTGGCCAAGGGGACCCCCACTTTTATTTCAGATGCATATTGCAGGGAGCAACAATATGAGGAATATTATTTCAGTGCCCTGGGAAAAATTAGCAAGTCAAATATTGAATCAGGCCTCCAGCATATGCCAAGGAGATTGCTTTGATCTTATCCACACTAAAAGCTCTATTATTAAATTTAAAGTCTGTGAACACATATCAGACTGATATACAATGCATATCTGAATACACATTTGAGAAGCAAAGGATGTTTTGACAAAGGGAAAAAGAATATTTTAGCCGAAAATATCAAAGTTACTGCAGCAATTGAAATACAAATGCCCCTTTTCATCTGGCTCAGGGCAACCCACAACCTGGGACCTGCCTGTCATTGAGGAGGAACTTCAGCTGGGCTCTCTGCTTGAGGAGCTGAGCTCACACCAAACCCTGCCCCAGGCTCAGCACCCTGAGCCCACCACCCCTGCAGCAGGTGCCCAGCACCCTCCCAGAGGGGTGTCCCTGCACCCCCGGGCATGGCACACACCAGGGATGGGGGTTCAGAGCTCCCTGCCACTGACATGACACTCACCATTTTATTATTGATTTCGTGGAAATGAATTTCACAGACTTTTTCAACCACGTCTTCATTTTCAAAGGTTACGAAGCCAAATCCTATTTAATAAAGACACAAAAAGGGGAGAGGTAAGGAAAACATTAGTTAAGTATAACAATTTCATTTTAATAAAACATTATCTAGCCATGGGGACTTTGGAAAACTTCCATAACAACACACGTGTGTACACCTGCTGCCTATGGAGCTGTTCCTGAGCTTATTGCAGCCTAATGGAGGGAAGAAGCATTGTCTCAGGGAAAATTAATACGGTTCTGTTCCAGCTCTTCCATAGGATTTAATGGAGAATTAAAACCTCCTTATGGATTTTTTGATCCATCCTACAGAATTTAATGGATAGTTACACCCCAGTTACATGATGGCTCGGAAACCACAATAAGGCCGTATTTTCTTTTACACCTTATAGGTTTTTAAGAGCAATCTCTACAAAACCCAATTATATTTCTATGGAACCATATTGATTTCATCTCTTGTTTAATTCCACGGGACTTCTCCATTAGAGCTGACTCATTACGCGACCCAAAAGCCATAAAAATCCGGGAAGACAGAAGATGATTCCTCATTTACCCCTGGCAAGGAGAAAAACCCCAGTGCCTCCCAAAGACAGAGCAGCAGTGAGTGTGCTCTGCAGCCTGCCGGGTCAGCCCCGCTCCGGAGGTGGTTATTTGTCCCTTTCTTCCTGAATTACTTCCTCGAATACCTCATCAGGACATCCTGAGGCCTCCAGGAACCCATTAGCTTCAGGCCTCTGATCTAATGTTCCTCTCTTCCCCAGGGCTGCTCCAAAGAGCAGAGGGTTCGGGATGCTTTGGGCTGGTGGATGCCTGTGGCTGTGCCAGCTCTGCTGGGGCTGGGCTGGCAGCCCACCGCAGCACACCCTGCTCCTGCCCCACCAAAAATCCTCCGGCCAATGCAGAACAAACCCCATTCACGTGCTGGAGAAGGCGCCGTGAGTCAACATCACGCTAGCTATGCTAATAATGAAATGTTAAGACCCAGGTAAGAGGATGCACTCCATCCCCAGCTGGAAGCGGGGTGTGCTGGGCAGGACCAGCCCCAGCGCAGCCCTGCCCGGGAGGAGGGTGATGCCAGGCGATGCCAGCAGTTCCTCCGGGTCCCTGCCCGGGAGGAGGGTGATGCCAGGCAATGCCAGCAGCTCCTCCGGGTCCCTGCCCGGGAGGAGGGTGATGCCAGGCGATGCCAGCAGCTCCTCCGGGTCCCTGCCCGGGAGGAGGGTGATGCCAGGAGATGCCAGCAGTTCCTTCGGGAATGCACAGTGCCTGCAGCCCTGGGAACGCTCCCATTCCCCTCCAGACCCTCGTACTGGGGCAAAGATCTGGGGAATGGTTTCCAGCCCTCCTCCAAGGCATAACACAGCTCGCCACACTGCTCTGCTCGGCTCTTGGAGCAGGCAGCAGCTTGGATTTTTGTACATAACTCACGTCTTTCATTTGCCTTCTAAATCGCTCCATTTAAATCTACCTGAAACAGCCCTGCAGTTAAACCTAGAATTTTTGTGGTTAGCTGCCTGAATCTGGCATCCCGGGAATCCCAGAGCTGGGAGCAAAGCGTGGCCGGACCGTGGATGAGATGGCCGGGCTGGGGCTGCAAGCCATTAATTGTTTGAGCAGCGGCAACATCTTCATCATTAGCAGCTCATTAGCGAGTGCTGCAGTTGAGGATTCCTCCTTCAACTTGTGTTAGGTCTCGGTGCCAGGATGGAGGGGAGAGGGAATTTAGGAGATTAACCCTAATATTAGAACACCACGAGGAAGCCGCAGCAGTCATTTTGTGTCTGGACTCGGAAATAAGTTTCCCATTCTCATCCCACCCCATATGGCTTAAGCACAGGTTTATCAAGAAATGATTTGTCTGATTAAATCAGATGGCCGCCCAGCTTCCCGCATTTCCAGATTTTACAACAATAAAATAACAACCTGTAGGTGTTAGCAGGCATTTGCAGGTTTCTGAAAGATCTGTGGCACTTGGTCAGACTGGCCTGGAGAGGAAAACCAGAGGAAAAACCAGAGGTGACCTCTACAATGCCCAACACCTCAAACTCAGTGGGAGCAACCAGAGGATTTCCATCTGCAGGCACACAGGCACTTAAATTCCTCCCTGGGAGGGTGGAAAGGGCCTGGAGCACCTTGGGACAGTGGAAGGTGTCCCCACCATGGCAGGGAATGGGCACTTATGGTTCCTTCCAACCACAACCATCCTGTGATTCTCTTCTTGTTTCACTTTTTGGATATCAAATTCCAGCTTTTAGTAACTGCACCCACACTAAGATCCCCCCGCACGCATGGTCTTATTAGTTCCCCTAATGAATAGACGCTCATATTTAAATTACCAAAACTCTCAGAAACCTTCCTGGGATAAATAGACAATTATTTCTTCTGAGAGGTACCAAGAGTCAACAAAAAAATGGTTCTCGGAAAGCGTATGGAAAAGATTAACCCAAAACAAAGGCGGCTGTTGAAAACGGTGACAGAAATAGGATTCCGGTTGTCAAGGAGCACACGTTTTAAAATGAAATTATACTGCATCCTTCTGAATGAAGCTATTATTGGAAGCTAACAAGCTCTATTTAAGAGATAAGCATTTAACAGAGTCAAACGGTTGGGTTTTTTATTCAAATGAATAAAACTGAATATTCATTTGAATAATCTTTTCTGTAAAAGAAAAGACAAAGAAGAGGGAGAAAAATAAAGTAAGAGGCAAACAGATGCCCCAAATGAGAGGCTCTGAGCCAAGCACCAGCACTAAAGGGAGCTGAGACATGTATCCATGACCTTCAGGTGAAAAACCCTCCTCTGGTATCTACTGGGAATGAGGAGTTATTCCACACCATTCATCTGCTGAAGGAGCCAGCCCACTCCATTCCTTTGCTGGTTCACGGGCACCAACAGGCACCAAAATTATGCCAGCCCAGACACCTGACATCCAATGGTGCAGGACACATCCTCCAACACACCCTGACACAAGGAAAAAGAAGAATTCAGGAAGAATTTCTTCATGGAAAGCGTTGGAAGGAGCTGCCCAGGGAGGTTTGGAGTGCCCATCCCTGGAGGTGTCCAAGGAATGAATGGAGGTGGCACTCAGAGCTCTGGGATGGGGACAAGTGAGGATCAGGGACTTGGGTGATTTTGGAGATCTTGTCCAACCCCAGTGATTCTGGGATTCTGTGATAAACCACCTTTGATCCCAAGCCCTGTTCAGCCACCAAAGCTGCCCAGGCCCGTGGGAAGGTGGCACCAGATTCAGCTCAGCAGGTTCTGTTACGGTATTCCAGAAATAAAACAAACATTGTTCAGAGAAAGGGACTGAAACCATAAACAGACTAAAATACTGTAAAAGAACAGTCAGAAGCCATAAATACTATTAAGAAGCCAGACTGAAGATACCAAATGTCAGGACTCCCGTGCTCTGTATTTTGGGTTTTTTTCACACGCTAACCAACGACATTTCACACTTTTGTCATCACTTGTGATTTTTGACGTCCAACTTGGTAAAATATAGCTGAGATGACGACACCACGGCTAAGAAGTGCATCTCCTTTCCCTGGCAGCACCATCCCAGAGCCCCAGCTCTGGCTGCACAGTGATCGTGTCACCGCTGTGCTGCACACGCCCAGGACGTCACTGCCTGGCACAATTACACCAAAGCAGCTCACCCGGGGAAAGGTCTCGCTGTCAACCCTCTGCGGGCATCTCAACAAGCAAAACAAGGTGATTGCATCCCACGCCACAGAGGTTAAAGCCAGGCTAGTGCTGGGGTTAACCTGGAGGGCTCTGATGGGCAGGGCAGGCTCTGCCTCAGCCCCAGCCAGAGCTGTGCCACAGCTGCCAGCACCTCCACCAGCGCCCGGGGCCAGTGCCACACCCAGCCCTCCAGGCAGGCACAGCTCCCAGGGGCTCCCCAGTGCCTGAACACACTGCAACCAGACATGTTTTACGTCCCGAGCTGTCTGGAGGTCCCCTGGTGATGTGGAGCAAGGCACTCAGTCTCATCACTGCCCTGCCTCTGCCCGAGCTGAGCCCACACTGCTGGTGAGCCTGCGGCAGGGACAGCCTCACCCTGCACTTACAGCAACCAGAGAGCTCCTGAAAATATTCTGGGAACCAGGGGATCACCAGGGCTCTTTTGTCCTGCACAGCAATCCCAAAGAACAAGGGCAGGAGACAAAAGAGGAGATTTACACAGGCCCTGTCACACCAACACTGCCCAAAGCTGGCTCCTGGTGCCCAGCAAGCGTCACCCCAGAGTCACTGGTGAGTGCAGGGTCACCCCTGCTCTGGCAGAGCGCTGCACGGAACCATCCTGTTCTGGGCACTGGGACGGGTCCCGGGGGTCCTGGGGGTCCCGGTGCCTCCAGCCCTGCCTCGGGAGCTGCCTGAGCAGCAGCTGTGCTGACAGATGGGGATCTCCAGCCTGACACTCCCAGCAGCTTCCCCAGGAAACAGCAGCCCAGGCTGGGCTCCTGCTCCGTGCCGGGCTCCGGAGCTGAGCCGCTCACCCCGGACCTGCGCCACCAAAGCGCCGGGACGCAGAGCAGTCCAGGCCTGCTGGGGTATTATTTATGCACCTGCTTTCTTGTTTATACCCATAGTTTTGGCAGCTGGTCCTGTGAAAGGTAATAAAATGCCTTTCAAAAGTAAAAAAAAATTAAAAATGAAGAAATGTGACCAGACAAGCCAGGCATAATAACATTAAAGCCCGTGTCAATTAATTTTTCCTCTTCTTGATAAACGAGCCCCATTCCATCCATTAATAATGAGGGAAGAAACAAGAAAAGTTGACACTAGTTTAATTTATTTTCTCAACTTGCCTGGTCATATTTCTCCCTGTTGCAAAGCTTTCCAGTGCTGCTGGGAATTGCAAGTGGCTCCCACACAGTCGATGCATAGATTGGTGTGAATCAATACCGTTCTACTTTATTCACACATCCCTTGTAATCAGAGAGGAAAAAGTTCCTTAGTAAGCTCCCAGCCTGCCAAGCTGTCTTATAAAAATAATAATAAAAATAATAATAAACTGGCAG